GGATCATTTAAGCCCAGGAATTTGAGATCATCAAGACCCCATCTTAAAAAAGATGAGAGGGCCATCAAAACGGCTTAGTGAATAAAGGTGCTTGCTGTGAAGCCTGACAACCTGTCTTCCCACAGTGGAAAAAAAACTGACTCCCATACACTGTCCTCTGACTTCCACATATGTACTATGGCATACATACCTACACACAATGAATAAATGTATATACATCTATTTTTTTTTTAAGTAGAGTATAAAATGTTCCAGACAGTGTATGTAGCTCAACTCTGCCTGTGTGTCCTGATAACTCTAATGCTGCTTCTCTCTGAGGCATACAGTTAGAGTAATTTGTTTTGTATTAAGATTTGATAAGAGGGGCTGGAGAGATGGCTCAGAGCTTAAGAGTACTGGCTGCTCTTCCAGAGGTCCTGAGTTCAATTCCCAACAGCCACATGGTGGCTCACAACCATCTGTTATGAGATCTGGTGCCCTCTTCTGGTGTGCAGATACACATGGAAGCAGAATGTTGTATATATAATAAATAAAATCTTTTAAAAAAAGATTTGATAAGAGGAAGGAGGAGAGATGGTTCAGCAGTTAGGAGTATGCATGGTCTTGCAGAGAACTACAGTTCCTGGGGGATTCAATGCCTCTTCTGACCTTCTCAAGGGTCCTGCCCACACATGGTGCACATACTTATAGTCAGGTGCACACACACACAAAATAAAAATATTTTTTAATCTTGCTGAAAGAAACTAATTCCTCAAATAAAATCTGCATCCTTTCTGTTAGCTATTTTATACTTCTATAATACTATGGCTACACAACCTGATACTTGCCTAAGCAATCTATCAATTGATAAGTTTATTTACTTAGGACTCATCTCAACTACACCTGTATAGTAATGTATTCATGTGTTCAAAACCACTGAAGTACCATAGGGACCCTTTAAATGTGAATACAAAATGGAACAAAAGAAGCTTCTAAGATGGGCTGTGGTGGCTGACAACTTTAATACTAGCACTCAGGAGGCAGAGGCAGGCATATCTGAGTTTTCCTGGTCTATAGAGCGAGTTCCAGGACAGCCAGGACTGTCAAGAAACCCTGTCTCGAAAGAAAGAAGGAAAGAAAGAAAGAAAAAGAAAGAAAGAAAGAAGGAAGGAAGGAAGGAAGGAAGGAAGGAAGGAAGGAAGGAAGGAAGGAAAGGGAAGGCAGGCAGGCAGGCAGGCAGGCTTCTTCACATACAAATATCTTAATTTCACTTTATTAACCTAAGTTAAAAATCACCAGTTAACTAAGGCTAAAATTTTTACTATCTCTGCTGAAATGATAAAGCTGTGTAAACTGTAAACATTGTAACCAGACTACCATCTATCTGCAAACAAGATTCTAAAACCATTTACTCAGCGGATCACAAAGTTCCCCTCTGGGTGCCTAAGAACAAAGATCAAACCAAGGTAACTTCAGGCACACATTGCCATCCAATATCAATGGACCAAAACACACACCTCTGCCTCTTCTTCCCACTTCCCTCCCTTTAACTGGGATTGGGAAAAATGATCTTGGAAGGAAGCCTGAGTCCCTAAATATGACATAGCTTTAAGTGAATTTTCACTAACACTCATTCATTAACAGCATTCAATGATGTGCCCAAGTTTCCAAGACAAACTAATCAAATTCAATTCTTAATGGCAAAAATCCATTCCTAAGCAAGGAAAAAGTTATACCCTATTATTTTGAGTTATTTAAATAAGATTAAATTTTGTCTTTGTAACAAGTCTCTAATACAATAAAAGCAAAATTCAGACACCCAGTACAAGGCAAAAGCAGTATGACATTAAACCACCATGTAAGTTTATCTATGAAATAACTTGGAAATTCACATCATTGTTAAGACTGTAACACATATTGCTCACTTTAAAATGCTTTACAATGTATTGACTACATGTGCTGTGTTTATATTAAAGGCACTTAGGCCAACATTAAATTGTCTTAAAATTTTTAATACACAAAATAAGCATTGGTGTTCCCTGTTTTCATATTATATATTCAAAAGTAATATCCAAACCTCAGGATTAAGGAAAAACAATGCACTTGGGAACACAAAAGGTTGATATCAAACTGTTTTAGAAGGTTGTATGCTGAAGGGGGACAGAAAGTAATAATAAATGAACTATGATCAAACGTTGTCACATTGAGAAAGAAATCATTTAATTGGTCAGTGCTCTAGTTTTTTTTTAAACTATTTTAAATACAAGTCCATTACAATTGTAATTCGAGAAAATTAGAAACCACAACCAGTACATACAAGTAATTTCTAAATCAACATAAATTCTAGTCAAATCAAATTCTACCATGTCTCATTAAAAAAAAGAAAAGAAAGAAAAAGAAAAACATGTTTTCACTTGCAAAGTTCTATGGAAGTGAATCGGTCAATAGGTCTGCTAATCCTTTACAAATACTGCAGCTCTTAATTGAGACTGGCAAAAAGACACTGACTGACATCTCTACAATGACTTGCATTTTATATAAAATGTTAAAACCTCCTAGATACCTGCAAAACTATTTTTCAGGGAGATAAGGGATCTACCCTCGAACGGCAAAAAAGCCAAAGGCTAGAAGACGAAGAGACATATACATCAGATCACAACTGGTGAGTGTATAATCCAAAAGCGTTAGCATCAAAATGCAGGCTTCAAAACTTATTCGGAAAGGGTTCATTTCATTTCTTAAACCGTGACAAGCAACTGCACTCATTTCCTGCTCAGAATCAACTCAAATTTCTACCATTTCCTTCTAAAGGAAATAGGACTGCAACACAGGGTAAAGGGCCGGCTATGGCATACCAACACCAAGTCTTAAAACAACGATCTTCCCACGTTTGTGTCTTTACATTCGCAACGAGCAGTGGCTTTTCACACTACTTTCACACATTCCATAATTTGGTCTTTTAAAAACGGCTACCTGTAAACTAAACAATGCCAAGAAGGCCCATTTTGAAGAGTCATGGCTTAACACAATCATTTCCAGAATTATAATACACTAGGCAATACGAGACGTATAAGGAAGTCAAATCATTTTAGTGGAATCTTCACCGTGCAAGAAGAGCATGTCACTCTGCCCTCAGTAATTACGCTTATGTAGTGACAGCTATAGTGTTAAAATAGAACACACACAGGTAGCAATGCTGCTGCGACATTTCCAGATAATTAAGCCTCCCGGAGGGTAAGTGGTTTCTGTAGGGGGTAGGCCCTAGACGCCCCAGCTCCTTCAAGCCTTCCTCTCCCAGGCGCGTGCTTAGGCAAAGCAGCGTCTCAAAGGAAGGGGGTAAAGGCCTAGGGTTATGTTAGGGGTGTGGGGGGGGGGCGGGGAGAGACCTAGGAAAAGGGACCT